GTTCTTGTTTTACCATAGAAAGTGGAGGATGCCAAGATCGCGATTCTCACCTGTCCGTTTGAGCCACCTAAACCAAAGACGAAGCATAAGCTGGACGTGACCTCCGTGGAAGATTACAAAGCCCTCCAGAAGTATGAGAAGGAGAAGTTTGAAGAGATGATCCAACAAGTAAGTGTTGGTGTAGTTTCCAGTGGCGTTGAACCTAGAGGGTGTGCGTAGCTCGCTGCGGTGATGGGAGAAGGCGTCAGTGGCGCTGGTCTGTGTGGCTGTCTTGATGCTCCCCGTGTGGCTGCGGGTAGTGTGGACAGCACAGGCCGGCTCCTTTCGCTTTGAAACCGTAAGTGTAATAAACCTTAGCGGTGAGAAGACATTAAACGGCACAGGAAGGCGTAAGGGAAGGAAGTCTGACGGCTCAAAATGGTTTGTCCTAAATGCTGACGTGCATTGGTGCCTGCGGGAGGCAGCACAGTTTCCCGGGGCTGGGGCCGTTCCCGCACGGCCCACTACACCAGCTCTGAAAGATCCCCGGGTGGCGCAGACGGCTTGCACTCGGCTGGTAACCGAAAGGTTGGCAGACTGAGCCTTCTGCAGCAGTGCTGTGGAAGAAAAAGGCCTGGCGATCTTCCATAAAGACGGCAGCCAGGGAAAGCCCGTGGAGCAGTTCTGCTGTCCCTGGCATCCTCGTGAGTCCAGTCAGTCACAGCACAAAACAACCAGCAGCCGTAAGTCCAGCTTCCAGCTGAGAGCCATTGAGTGGCTGAGTTAGAGCTGAACTCAGTCTGTCCCCCTTTGACCAGACAGGCCAGAGGGTCAGCTTACCAATACTTAGAAGTGTGATTTTAAAAACGAGGCAGTTCCCGTAAGTAGATGTGCATCATTTAGAATTTGGGGCTGACAGGAAAGCAGACATTTGCTTGTTTTCTTCCTTCTCTTTTCTACGCTTTCGGAGATGTTTTATTTTTAACGGGCCCACTGCACACATCCACCTGTGCATCGTGCCCTTTTTCCAAACGTTGTCACACAATAAAGATGTACTTGTATTGACGTGATCAAGATTTTCCCCAGATCAAAGAAACTGGCGCTAACCTAGCGGTCTGCCAGTGGGGCTTTGACGACGAAGCGAACCACTTACTTCTCCAGAGCAACTTGCCTGC